GAATAAACAAATAAATTATTTACAGACTGCCGCGTTTTATTCATCATTGTGCCCACAAGCCTCTCGATTACCTCGTGACAATCCACTTGGATGTGTTAATCGACGTTTTCGACAGTATCTTATTTCCACACACACACACACACACACACACACACACTTAGCACAGATTTTCATTGATCCATTGCGATATATTGTGGAATTATTCATCAATGAGTATTTCTAATATGTCATACGTATCTGCATTGATTAGTGCTGACATCGATTTTACTTTTGAAGACTGTTTTAGAAGTAATGCTGAGTGTAACGCGAACCTAGTCTATTCAACAAACGCACATTTGTTTCAAGTCGCACAAGGATTACGACTAGTCCATTACGACATCTTCAATATGATTATGTGTAATGGGGTCGTTATCTTCTTCCTCTAATATGATTCACGAAGTATCATAAATGTGAATATGAACAATCTGAACACTTATCAACCAGCCCGTATCACTCAAAAATAAACAGGTATGAGTTTTTTGCAAATGCGAAATTGACTGCACACAATGTGAAGGTGATTTCGTCGATCAAGAAACGTCTTCATGCTGAATAAAGGAAGAACAGTGGTGGTTTGTGCAGAATAATATGGTACTATCATTTATTTCGCTGAATTCTCATCAGCTGCTTACAGCCTAAATAAATTATGAGGTTTATGTACAGAAAAGTTTTAACATATTTGAAAATTTTATCATAGTGTCAGTTGACAGTAAGTTCCACAAATCGTGAACAGTGCTCAGATAATTGCGCTTATATAATTTTTACACAGGCAGTGCAAGTTGAAACAAAATAAATGTATACATACAATAGCAAAGGAGTTACGTAATGAAGATGAGAGATGCTTAAGATGCAAAGTGACTGATTAATTAGGCAACAATGTACTGAGTTCAACTCAAACCATAGAAACAAGAGACAAGCAAAATTGCAAACTATAAAACGGGGTGAGGTTAAAGTCAAAGATTACGTAGTCAAATGAGAGAATAAAGACATCCAGTTACTACGGAAAGGAAAGACTAATAACTGCTTCTTTCTGAACACACAAACATGGTTTCAAGCATTTGATAGAAATTGCTTCGGCAAACTTGAGGAGAATCGAGCTCCTTTGTCTATTGATAATTTTAAAGGATTTCGCTATTTCCACCTCATGACCCGTATCGAGGAGATGTCTGGTGATAGCGCTATTATAAGAGTTTGTTCCCTTGAAACGTAGGCTTTATGCTGTAAGAAGCTGATGAGAAGCCAGTGAAATAAATGATGGTGCCATATTATTCTGCACAAACTACTGTTGTTCTTGCTTTATTCAAATTTATTAAGGGGAATAAATGCATGAAGTTTTCATGCTGAATTATCCTTTACTTTTTATGCTATATTTTTATGAATTAGTAGCAAAATGTATTTCCAATGGAAGTGTTTCCATATATTCGCCACCGATGTTATCAAGGTACCGGGTTGTAATAACGAAATGCCATAAACTGAATTACGCAGCTATCGCCGCCAGGCACGTTTGCTGCTAACGCGTGGTGGTGGGATTGTTTCCCAAAGTCTTCGCATCCTTGCAGAGACAAAAGGTTTTCGGTTACTACAAGCTTCCTGGACATAGATGGTATGATACTAACACTAATGTTACTTTTACTTCCTACCAATTACTTCTTGTGATCGTGGAAAAGTTGTAACCAGTTGAGAAGAATCCTCGAAATAATAAAAGATGAGCTCATATTATCCTGGTACAATTGTTGTCCTTGCTTTGTTCAAGTTTATTAATGGGAAGAATTGCATGAAATATAACAATTCTTGAGGATAGCTATTACATTGAAGTCCAACAAAGACAACTGGATAGGATAAGATCACGGTCACGAGATAAAGTAAGCTTTATTAATCGAATCAGCTGAAAAAAGTGAAACAGGAATGACTTAATAACTGTCCTGGACATCTGCTTGATTCTGAGTTCTTGTTTTGTACTAAGGCTGGAACATATAGCTGCCAAACGGCACTTTTCAGGTAATCTTAAGTTTTGATTTTATAATTGGTGCATGGAACCACAGAACCATCAGTGGATAATTGTTCTTTTGCTGTCTTTGGAGCGTTGTGTAACAGAATGGCTCTCAAGGAAATTTCAGACAGCTATACAGTAAGAAGTGAAGATTAGTTCTTTGAGTTCAGTGCACAATGATTCGGTTTCGATTGTTACTTCCTGATATACCGAAGGAGAATATGGAGTCATGGAATGTATCTCCAGGAAAGCAGAAAGTCCCTATTGTGCAGTTTCATGTCATTGCACTTCTTCAAGTTTAGTTGAAAATGATGGCAGCTCTAACTCCAGAGTAGTCTTAGATTAGTTTAGACAGGAAATGGAATAGGAATATAGATAATTTCAGGCTAAACAGGAGGCTAAAGGAAATTCTCCACTGAATAACTTGTCCCCTAATGGGAATTTTCCACGAGGGAAGGAGGAATTCTACAAACAACTCCAGTCAGTACTGGACAGAACCCCAAATGGCGACATGGAAATGATAATGGGTGGTGTGAATAGCAGCGGAACTGAGATGAAACAACGCAGGGAAAGGACTGGAATTGAGTCAGGAGGCTCTCAGGGAAATGAATGAGAACTAGGATTTTGTGATCGGAGGAGATATCTATAAGCACCAGGACTTACATAACCAACATGGGTTTCACCCAACGGTCACAGTAGAAATCAGTTGGACGACGGAGGCAGGTCAACTACTTGTGGATGCGACTGGAAGCCGGCGAAGCAGATATATGTACAGGTTAATAATCATGCAAGTGTGCTTGGCTTGTTAGAAGGTATTCAGGAAATGTAAGCACCTTTAAGGATATATGGCTAGACAGTGGATGTAGATGTGGCAAGAGCAAATTGTAGGATGTAGAAAACCAGGCAGTGTAAATTCCCTTCACTACTGTTCTTTGCTATTCTTTCTATAGCTTTCAATTTATACTACTTATCATTAGTAGGTAGTAAGAATATTATATTTTAATAGTTTACACACAATGATAAGTTTTGTTATTGGTAATATTTCGAGCAAAATTACTGCCCGTGTTCACACCAGTGTTGGAATTGTTTGATGAATTGCTCGAAATATTACCAATAACAAAACTTATCATTGTGTGTAAACTATTAAAATATAATTATACTTTATTTGATCTAATCCACAATGCTCAAACTTTTTACTGACATTG